ATAGGAAATCCCTCAGCTGGGAAGGGTCTGAGTTGAATTTGGCGACCCAAAACTGTTAAAGCAAGGAGGCTGACCATTCAGCAGGCATGTTTTGTAATCATTTTCCATTTCCTGTCTAAGGGGAACCACTTTAAGTGTGGGGTGTCTTCATTAATATAATCTGCCCCTTTCTCCTTCTGATGCTGTTTTTAGGAGAGGGGAGAAAGATGGGTTCTCCCTTGGTGTGGTAGAGCCCTTCTGAAAGCCCCACCGCTGTGCCCGACATAGAGGCATCCCACGGGGCAGGGCTTTCAGAAAGCCCCGGCGCTGTGTCCACTATAGAGATGGGATGCGGGACGTCTCTATGGTGGACACAGGTGTGGGGCTTTGGCGAGGCTTTCAGAAAGCCCCGGTGCTGTGTCCGCCATAGAGGCAGGATGCAGGACGCCTCTATGGGGGACACAGCGATGGGGCTTTCCAAAAGCACCGCCAAAGCCCTGGCGCTGTGTCCGACATAGAGGTGTCCCGCCCCTATGGCAGACACAGCGCTGGGGCATCTGAATGCCCTGCCGCGGTGTCCGGCATAGAGGCGTCCCACCCCTATGGCGGACACAGCACCTGGGCGTCCGAACGCCCTGCCACGGTGTCCGACATAGGGCGGCTTTTGCCCACTTGCTTCATTATCCATAAACCTCACCGCACGTCACTGCATCATGGTATTAATAAAAACATAGCTCAAGCAAAAAAATCTCCATTTCCTGCCTAAGGTAAAGGTAAAGGTTCCCCTCACACATATGTGCTAGTTATTCCTGACTCTAGGAGGTGGTGGTCATTTCAGTTTCAAAGCTGAAGAGCCAGCACTGTCCGACGACATCTCTGTGATCAGGTGGCTGGCATGACTAAATGCCGAAGGAACATGGAATGCTGTTACCTTTCCACCAAAGGTGGTTCATATTTTTCTACTTGCATTTTTACATGCTTTCAAACTGCTAGGTTGGCAGAAGTTGGGACAAGTAACGGGAGCTCACTCCGTTATGCAGCACTAAAATTCGACCCACTGAACTGCTGACCTTTCTGATTGACAAGCTCAGCATCTTAGCCACTGAGCCACCACATCCACTGCATCCCTTTCCTGCCTACAGGGATCCAATTGTCAGATGTGGTGGGCCAGGGCCAGGATCAGGTTGATGTTTGGCTGTTGCTCAGAATATGCTCCATCTTAGATCCAAGGGTCACTCAACCTAATGAGCATTAATAGTTAATCATGCTGTCCACTAGATGTAAAATGAACATTCATAACAATTTCACAAGAATATCTGTATGCAGATTCAGAAACTCAGGCAATGAAAACATTGTGTTTGGCTAGTTCCTAAGAAAAAGCAATGGATGATAAACTGTCATGTAGAATGGGAAAATTAAGCTCTTTTAGAACTTTAAGATATGATTAAGGGTGTCTCTTTCTCCTCCTGCAACCAAATATGCTCTACACAGATACTATTGCTTCTTTCTGTAATCTGTTCATTAGCAGCCTCAACAAGAATGCATTTTTTTTAGGACATGAATATCCCTTTCCTGGTGTGTGCCATGCAACTGTTAGTGCTTGAAGGCAAAATTGGAGAAAATAATGTATTGAGAGATACCATTTTAATTAAAACGCACCCACATAATCAATCAATCAATCAATCAATCAATCAGAGTTTTCAGCTCTCCTAACATATTCTCCCTCTTCTAATAAAATCACCCATGATTCTGACCTAGGAGTACTCATTTCAAAGGGTCTACAGAGCTCACGTTAACAGCATTGCCAAAAAGGCATTAAGAGTTGTTAACCTAATTTTGCAAAGCTTCTTCTCTGATAACATTGTACTGCAAACTAGAGCATACAAAATATTTGCCAGACCAATTCTTGAACATGTAGCTCATCTGCCTGGATTCCATACTGTATACCGGGCATTAATACATTTGAACAAGTCCAGAGGTATTTCACGAGAAGAGTACTTCACTCCCTTGCTCACAACAGAATCCCTTATGTCACCAGGCTCGAAATTTTGGGCTTGGAAAACCTGGAACTATGCTGCCTGACCTAAGCACCGTACACAAAATTGTCTGCTACAATGTCCTACCTGTCAATGACTACTTCAGCTTCAACCTCAATAATACGTGAGCAAACAATAGATACAAACTCAAGGTAAACCGCTCCAAAATCGATTGCAGAAAATACAACTTCAGCAACAGAGTGGTCAAAGCCTGGAATGCTCTCCCAGACTCCATTGTTAGATCCTTAAACCCTCACAGCTTCAACCTTAAACTGTCTAACATGGAACTCACCCCATTCCTAAGAGGTCTGTAAAGGGGACATGCATAAGTGCACCAACGTGCCTACCATCCTGTCCTACTGTCCCCATTTATTTGTACTCATTTCCTTTGTTCATGTCCATGTTCATACTTATACCTGTTATCTTGTACATGTTTGACAAACCAAATAAAATAAATAAAAATAAAAAATACACACATCCAATTCCAATTGCTTAACGGACAGCGTTGAGGAGGCCAGGTTTAGCCTGTGTTTCATAAGACAAGAAAAGAACCTTTTGCCTTCTAAAAGAAAAAACTGTCTGCCTCAATTGGTGCCACATAAGAAGGAGAGGTGAACAAACTGAATCACTGATGTGCAAAACTGTTCACATTCACACAGCTGTTTCTTTGAATTATGTGATAGAAGGGCTTCCTAATTATTTTTGTTTGTTTGTTCCAAGATCTGATATTCCTACCGGCCAGCATGTCAGAGTGAAAAATAGAGTCATGGTTTATTTATTTGATGTACTATGTGTCTTACAACAGACAAAAAAAATTCTTGATTTAGGTTTCTTAATGATGCCCCCAACATGCTCTCTATTTCTCGAGTCCTATTTGGGTATTGTGAAATCAACAAGACATTGTGAATCAAGCTGTTGTGATTTATGTACCAGAAGAATATAGAGGGTAAATTCAGGCCTGTAGATATGTCCAATCTTGTCACCTGGTCAAGATTGACTCGAAGGCACAAAATCAATTAATTAATTAAACCAAAGCAACTCTTCAATTATCTCTTTTCCCCC